AGTTCGTAAGAGCATTGATGAAGTCGGAGCTCTCATGCAATTCATGGGCACCTGCAGAGATTATGAAAACACAACAACCTGCCTTTTTTAGGCTCTCCTGGGTTTACAATGATCTTTTGGTGGAAAGACTCGATGGGCTCAATTTGAACTTTCTCCGGCTCGGGCTTCGCGGGCCTTTTGGACATAACTTCAGACCTGGACTTAGGTTGTATAGCCTCAACTTCTTCTATACCAGCGGTCCTCATAACGGTCGGGGGCTTCTTAACCGTGCGCTTTTTTTGCTCACTCTTTGCTTCAATTTCATCAGGCATTTTATTTACAACCTTATTAGGCAATTCTTCTTTCTTTTTTTTATTGGGAGGTTCGGCTGTAAACTATAAGTTAAATTAAATCTCACATAGGTCTTTGGTGGTGAAGGCTTGAATAACCTGTTTCCATTTTTTTACAATCTCGCCGGCCAACGCCCTGACAGCTTAGGGGGAGTAAAAGAATCAGCCTTACTCTCATTTTCACATCTCTTAGAGAGTGTGTTAATTAATTTCGGGCATACATTTTGCGTGAGCTGGTCAAGCCCAACAGGGAGATTGAGGTAGACATTTAGTAGCTCAATTAGGAAGGCATAATTCTCCTCTTTAAGAGCTTCCTGTAGCCACTTAAGCAGGATATCCCATGCACCTTCTCGGCACAATTCGGCCTGAACATGAATTTCAGAAGCCGCAATTATGCATAGAGAAAGGCATTTTGGGACAAGTTTATCTCTGGTATCTAGCATAAGAGCGATGAGTTGCCGGACCGATTCCTTTAGAACGCCTCCGTTGTCATTTAGATGGTCCTTATACGCATCAAGAAGCTTGTCCGGGTCAGAACTAACCTAATAAAGAAAAATTTCAGAGATTAGCAGGTGAAGAAATCTCAGTGATAGATCAAAGATTTATCCGTAAAGAAGGAAGAAAAGCGAGCCTCACCCTCTGCATGACGGGAAGAGGAGAGGAAGTAGGTACAGGAAAATCGAAAGAAGGAAGGGGGAGGAAGGTGAAATGGCGAGAAGA